GTCGATGCCCAGATCAGAGGCGATCCGCCCTGTGGGTCCTCCGACGGGAGGTCTGTCCCCACAGGGGAGTGCAGAGGAGGCACCACCACACATGCAACGCATGCACTACGAGTACGTACTGGCGGCGGTGCTGAACCCTCTGATCTGGCTGCCGACGGGCAGGTGGTCGATGCCCAGATCAGAGGCGATCCGCCCTGTGAGTCCACCGACGGGTGGTCAGCCTTCGCTCGGGAGTGCAAAGGAGGCACCACCGCCCAAGAACATCACGGACATGGTTTTCGAGACGGGTGCGGCGAGGTGGCGTCTGAGGTTCCTGTCTCCGAAGTTGCGCGGCACGGGCGCGATTGGACCTTTGTCGCAGTGAACATTACGGCAGCGCAGAAGGAGGCGGTGAAGATGGGTTTGGTCACCACGGAGATCACGGAGTTTTTCCCCAATACGGATGGCATTTTGTATCAGGAGCACAAGATTCGCAAGGCAAACATTGGCGATGCGCGACTAAGGCTACAACATAAAGGATGGAATTGTCACATCCCGCCGGCGTTAAAAGGTGAAGGACATGCAGCTAGCTCTGGAGTGGCAGTTGGAGTGCGACAGGATATCGCTTCCGCTATCCCACCTGATCTTGGAGGTGTTGGTGTACCACAATGGCGATGGGCAATGCAGTGGGTTGATGGGATGCTGCCAGGAGGCTTCATTCTTGCTTCAATCAATCTACCTGATATCTGGGCACAAAGTGCGTGAATATGAAGATGCTAACAAGCGGCTCATTTTGTTGGCGATGGAGCAGTTACAGAGACGTGGCAGGCCCTTCATCGTAGGAGGCGATTGGAACATGACTCCTCAAGAACTCAACGACCTCAATATTTTACCACAGGTACCTGCGATGATACTTGCGCCAACGCAATGGACTTGCGCATGTGGCGAAGGCAGGGTGCTTGATTACTTCGTTGTTAGCAAGCATTTCAAGGGGCTTATCACGGATGCCTCAAGGATAGAGGGGCTTTCGATTGCGACGCGTTGGGGAGTCCGACTTTCACTACGTGTTGGGCCAGGTGCAGCGCTCGAACAGCAGCTCAAAATACTCAAGAAGTTTCCGAAGGTATGCCCGCTAGGAGCACCGCCGCCTCCACCTTCCTATCTGCAAGTTATCAGTGAATGTGACTATGTACAAGACAAAGAAGACCTCCAATTGTGTTTTGCACAGTGGCATGCGTTGGCTGACGGGGAACTTGTACAACGGTTTCAGCTTGATGATAGACGCGGTAAAGCTTGCCGAGGCCGAGCGCAATCTACGGAGCCCGATTACAAGCAGGTGGCATCGGTTAGAAAGGCGCCAGGTCGATCACCACAAGGTAACCCGACTTCCAGAGTCTGGAGACGTGCTGCAATGGCTATGGTGGATCTTCTACATGCACGCAAGTGTGGATGGGCGCACGTTTGCAAGTTTATTCAAGACAGGTTCAATACCATGAGGAATCTGAAGAGTAAGAGCTTGGACATGGGAGTGCAATGGGACATTTGGTGCTACAGGCATGACCATGAATTCAGTTGGGACGATGATTGGCTGCGAGAGGCAAGTTGGAGTGCTGCCCAGCAGGCCACTGCTATAGAGGTCAAGTTTGCCAGCAGTCGCGCCAAGCAGTGGAGGAAGTTGGTTGCTGAGGTAATTGAGAAGGGCGACAAGCAGGCGCACAGATGGTCTAAGTTACCTACGATGGACGCAGGCCGACATTCATCCCACGGAAGGTGTGCAGTCGCATGCGGCACGTCTACAGGCGGACTTGGAGGAGTGGGAGCATGTCTGGAGGTGCCGTGTTGGAGAGCGAAGTTTTGGAGCAGGGCTACGATTACAAACCATTGAGCAGGAGGTGAAGGTGTTGACCAGTGGTGGCATACGGAAGGTGGCTACAACCTTCAAAGTGAATACGGCTTCGGGTATTGACAACCTGGGTCCGAAGAATGTTGCCTTGCGTTCTGGTGGCGCGCTTTCGGCTTGTGCGAAAATCATGCAGAAGGGGGAGGTCATTGGGGAGTTGCCACCGCAGCTCACCCACAACTTCATGCCGAGGTTGCCGAAGCCTGAAGGAGGGCATTGACTCATTGGGCTCCTACCTGACCTTCTACGCGTCTACAACAAGTGCCATAAGGCTGACCAGCAGGAGTGGCCCGACAAGAATGTCAAGGACTATCACTACGCGGTGGCAGGACGCAGCTCCGAGCAGGCGGTATGGACACAGTCACTCCTTGCTGAAGCTGGTCTAGCGCTCAAAAGGCACACGGCAACGGTGATGCTAGACCTGAAGAAAGCTTTCGATAAGATCCCGCATGCGACTTTATGGGCAGTGGGGTGCAGACACGGTTTCAAGCTATCACGGTTGGCCTTGCTTCTCAAATCGTATGCAGGTGGACGTGTGATCAGGTATGGTAGCATGGTTTCAGAGATGGTGAAGACGAATCACTGAGTTATAGCTGGGTGTGGGTTTGCTACAACTATGATGATGCTATTCACACTGGGTGCGTATGAGCAGGTCCATACGCTGTGGCCGTCTCTCAGTCTTACACAGGTGGTGGATGATGGGAGCTTGCAAGCTACAGGAACTCATGATCAAGTCCTAAAGGTCCTCATTCCCGCTGCGAGAAGGTTGTGGAAGGAGCTGGTAGATTTAGGTCTAGAGCTTAGTCCGAATAAGGGGCATGCCATCGCGACCAGCACGGAGTTGGAGAAGCAGATTGAGACGGCCCTTAAGCAACACAAGTTCAGGCGGCACCGCACTGCGCGACAGCTTGGGCATGATCGAACACTGCGACGAGGTTCAGGTGGAGTGGTGCAGCAGACTCGCGCCCTGGCTACGTCAAAGCGAATTTCACGCTACCGACGATTGGCGCTGCGAGGACGGCAAATGGGAAGGTTGTTTCGTGGTGGAGGCTTGGCTTCAGTGACATACACTGTGAAGGTGAAAGGCATGTCAGACACACAGTTGAAGCAGGTGAGAAGCATCGCTGGACATGCTTTGTTTGGAACGGCTCGTGGAAGGTGCAGGACTATTGAGTTTCAGCGTTCGCATTGTCCTAGAGCGGATCCTACGTTTGCGGTGGATGAGTACCCACTTGTGTATTGGATCAGGGCTTTACACGGACATTGGGTCAAGGATCGGGCCATGGTCTTGGCATTCATGCAGGCGCAGAATAACTGTGGTACATGGCGGAGTGTACGTGGGCAGCAGGTGCAGTGGTCATGACTCTCAAGAGGCTCGGCTGGAAGGCGACGTCGCGGGGTTGCTGGTACACAGAACGCGGTGCGAAGTTGGACTTGCATGACATGGGCCCTGCAACTCTCAAGAAGGTGGTCAATCAAGCTACGCAGCGCCGACTTTTACGTGAAGTCCCCAATTCTAGGGGTATGGAAGGGCTCACGGGACCGCCCCTGTTGGAGCCTGCCAAGCAGTTCATCGGCAAGCTCAGGGCGCAAGGGGACAACAAAGGGGCTGGGCTGATTCGGACATGGCTGGCTGGAGGTTTCTACTGCCAGGAGAGACTACATCAGGTGCATGCAGAACACAGCCCATTGTGTGCCTTGTGTGGGGTGGAAGCTGGCACGGATACGCATCGTATTTACAGATGTGATTGGGCATGCGATGGAGCGTTTCAGCTGGACGGGAGAAGAGCGGACCCTGCTGCAGTGGGGCAGACAGGAGCATGGGCAACGGCATCCTCACACGATGATGACTACCAAGAGGCTCATGCCAGATCCGACCTACGATGCGCCTTTGCCGACAACGGAGCACATTATCAATTGGCACAAGTGTACGGTGAGTGGTCTTATCAGCGGTGTGGTTTGCACGGATGGAAGTTGTATTTTTCCACATTGTGAAGTTCGTGCACGAGCAGGTTGGTCTTTCGTTATGATTGACGAGGCTGGAGCGACGGTGGCGGCTGCTTCAGGACCCGTGCCTCACCCATGGCAGACGTCTGGTGCTGGAGAGATCATGGCAGCAATCAGAGCACTGCAACACAAGTCGGCTGGACACATCACGATTGTGACGGACTACAAAGATCTCAAGAAAGGGTGGGCGGTTGGTTTTCCATATGGCTGCCATACTGGCCATCAATACATGGAATTGTGGAAGTCGTTCTGGCACGTTGTACAAGACATCGGCACGTCGGACATTGAATCTGTTTGGATCCCTTCGCATATGTCGAGAACCAGGGCGATGGATCAAGGTATCATCATGCCATACTGGAATGGGAGCAAAAGTGCAGATTACTATGCACGCATGGGAGCCGACTGTCATCCGCGCGAGAAGTCCAATGAGAAGCTGCGGAGCATGCGTGGGGCGGCAGTCCCTATTACCCTTCAGAGTGTTTTGCGCGTTCTGCGCCTGTGCCAGAAAGGAGGATGGAGAGATGCGCAGCAGGTGAATGAGGGCAGGCCCGCGCGCGATGTTCATGTGGTCATCTCCGAAGATGGAGGACACGTAATTCACAGGTTTAAGGGACGATGGGTGTGCGGGAGGTGCGGAGATAGTCGCGCTCGTCGTTGTGACTTGGCGAGGTTTCCGTGTTTGGGGGACCCGAAAGGGGTCCGTGAAGCGCACCCGTCCAATAAGCTTTGGCGCACTGGACCAACGGCTTGGTGTTTGGAGTGTGCCTTTAGATGTGTTTCTAGAGCGTTTTTTGATATCCAAACCCTTGTTTGGGTAGGCCGCCCCTGGGTTCTCCGAGGCACTTCAAGCGTAGGTACCTCGTCCAGGGAAGGGGCCGTCAGGGGAGAGGGTCGGTAATGGTTTCACTAAGCCTGTTCCGATTTTCGTTCGAGTCGATCGTTAAGCGTTCGACGGTTTAAGAGTATCCTTTCTGTGGCTTGGTGCATCGTTATCGGCACACCTCGTCGTCATCCAGAGTCTCCAGAGCCTCCTCCTCCCCCTCCTCCTCCTCCTCCTCCTCCTCCTCCTCCTGGACCGGGCTGCGGGGGAAGAGGAGGGCCGCCCCCGCGGCAGGACCGGTTGCCGCTTGCAGCTGCGCGGCGTGGGCTGCGGCGGCGCGGACAGCAAGGACCATCCGAGGGGCCTCGCGCGAGCCTCGTCAGCAAGGCGTCGTCGTATGTGTGCACGGGCCGTCGTCGTCGTCATTGTCGTGCGTCGTCGTCGTTCGGCGTCGTCGTTCGTGGGTCACCGTCGTCGTTCGTGCGGGGTCGTCGTTTGTCGTCCACGTCATCGTTGTCGTCGTCAACGTCGTAGTCGTTGTCGAACCAAGTGCGAGACCCCACATCGGACATGCGCATCAACCCTGCGTCTCGGAACAGAGAGTCCGCAAATCCGAGGCAGCCTCGCTTTTTCGGATTCTCTTCGTTGGAATCCCAAGGCGCAGTGGGCATGTGGATAAAGGTCTGGCTTCTAGCGAGGTTGTTTTTGTACACATATTCACTGCATCTCGGGTTTTGCGCATCCCTTCTCAAGAAATCCAAGGCAGCCCCAGTACGGATGCAGCTCTTGTCCTCACAGGGGTTCCACACTAACCTCGTCAACAATCTTGACAAGTGCAGTCGGATGTCGTGGGACTCGATGCCTCCCGGCACTCGTGTCCGAGAGCGCGCTCCTCAGTGCTGAGAGGGGGGATGCCAGATTTCGGGCACCCCCGCGTGCAAGTGACATGCAGTCTAGGCGCCGGAATCCACATGCAGCAGCTCAGGTTCGGAAGGGGCTCGCTGTTCCTTGGGCCCTCCCATGGCTGTTCCGCCGGCAACCCTCTTGCACCCAGGTGCTATTTCTTCGCCCCAAATCCGCCTGCAGGGGGAAACGCCCGACCTAATCCTTGTTCCCCCTCTACTCCCTGGGGGTCTCTGGGGCCCCTGGAATCCGAGGCTGGGATCACCCCCACGGAAGCCGATCTTCCTGCACCTCGGGAGTGGGCCCCAATCAGTGCTTGCACTGGAGGGGTCCCAGCGGATCTTGAAGGATTTGGCGAGATTGGGCGGCCGATTTCGGTGGGCCGCCGGGTTCTTTGGGTTCCCCGTTCCCGGGTTCCCGGGTTCCTTGTTGCTGGTTCGGGGCCGATGTCGGTGGGCGGTGGGGTTTTTGGGTTTCCAGGCCGATCTCTGTATATCGATCGGTCTCACCATCGATCTCATTGCCTACCTCTATCGATCTCGTTATCGATATCACAATCGATCTGGCAATCGATATCATTATAGATCGCACGAGCGATCCCACGATCGACCTCATTATCGATCTCATTGAATCGATGTCACTATCCGTCTCACGATCGACCCTACTATCGATCTTACTTATGATCTCGCCATCGATCTCACAATCTATATCAGTACCCAGATCACAAATTTCCAGAACATCCACTTGCCGGGGCTCTTCTCCGGAGTGTCTATACACACATAGACGTATATTCCTATCTAGCCATGCATATACATATGTACAAGGTTGCGTGTGTGCGTGTGGCCGTGTGTGCGCGTGCGTGCGTGCGTGCGTGTGTGTATATATATATATAGGTTGTGTGTATGTGTGTATGTGCGTGCGTGCGTGCGTGCGTGCGTGCGTGCGTGCGTCTGTGTCTGTGTGTGTGTGTGGGTGTGGGTGTGGGTGTTGGTGTGGGTGTGGGTGTGGGTGTGTGTGTGGTTGCGTGCGTGCGTGCGTGCGCGTGCGCGTGCGCGTGCGCGTGCGCGTGCGCGTGCGTGCGTGCGTGCGTGTGTGTGTGTGTGTGTGTGTGTGTGTGTGTGTGTGTGTGTGTGTGTGTGTTTGTGTGTGTGCGTGGGTGTTTTTTTTGTGTTGTTTGTGTGTATGTGTGTGCGTGGGTGTGGGGGTGGGGGGAGGGCGCTAGGGGGGCCCAACTGTGTGCGTATCCGCCGCCCCTGATGATTCCTCCTCCTCCTCCTCCTCCTCCTCCTCCTCATTCGGGAGGTTTGGGAGCCCAAATTACACCAGATAGCTGAGGCCTCTGTGTCCTCGGTCCTGTGCGTCCTCAGTCCTGCCTCTCCTCCCCTCGACCGTGGCCCGGGACAGGAGCCCCTGTACATCCAGGTGCGCCCCGGCATCGACGGCAAGGCACGCGGATCCGGGCGAGGAGCACGCGGAGGCGGGAGGAGGAGATCGGGGGTCGGCCGGGAGAGGGGTGATGGCCAGGGTTCGGGATCCTCCTCCTCCCTCCTCCCTCCTCCTCCTCCTCCCTCCTCCTCCTCCTCCTCCTCCTCCTCCTCCTCCTCCTCCTCCTCCTCCTCCTCCTCCCCCTCCTCCCCCTCCCCCTCCTCCTCCTCCTCCTGTTCTTTTGAGGCCCAGGTCGGGGCGAAGCCTCTCCGTGGCCGAGGCTCTCCGTGGCCGAGGCCCTCCGTCGCTCGGGGGGTGGTGCGCTCAGGCGGGCCCCGCGCAGGCCCACCGCAGCCGCGCGGCAGGGCCGCGAGAGGGAGAGGGGTTAATGCACACGGGGGTCAGCCAGAGCGCCCTATCTTGCAGGATCCTTCAGGGCCAGGGTCGCATTGGCCCAGGCTTGGGTGGAGGATCTGGCAGGATCTTGCCGGATCCTTCGCATTGGCCCAGGATTTGGTGCAGGATTTTGAAGGATCTTGCAGGAGTTTGCACGGCCTGACTGACCCAGGTCTGGGTTGACCCGGGTCAGTAGATCCCCGAACGGTTGGGTCGGGCATGTCCCTCTACAGGAGGAGCACTCAAGAATGATACAAAAACAGTCGGAGGACGATTTTGTAGTATGTGTTGTTTTCTGTATTTGTTTGAGTATGTTTTGTGCTTATTCCAAATCCGCCTGTAGGAGGACATGCCCGACCTAAGACTAGGGGGTGGATGTTCCCCTTGAGTTCATGGCCCCCTCTCAGAGGCGTATTTTTCCCACTATTACTTCAAACGGGTTGTGGGTGAAAAAAGAAACACGATGTCCGCCTGGACCCCCGCTGGACGAGCGGAATTGCGATCGCAGTGGCCCGCTCGGTCGCGCGTGACCCACCGCTGGGAACACCGTGAAAGCGCGGGCGTCGCGGCGACGACGACGGCGACGGCGACGACGACGGCGGCGCCTGCGCCGACGGCGAGGACGGCGGCAACGGCGACGGCGACGACGGCGACGAACATCGCGGTGACGGCGGCGACGGGGCCCGGGCTCGCGGCGATGCGGTGGTGATGCGGGGCCAGGGCCCGGTCGGGGGGCGGGGGGGCCACGTTTTTTTCTTGCCAGTTCACCCCGCGATGCACTCGCTCGAGCAATCAGGGTCGCGTTGCATCGGGCCGCGGAGATCCTTGGACCTGTTTCCAGCGAGTTGTAGGTGCTCCTCGGCAGGAGATTCGGGGCGCGGGCGCAGGACGTGGCTCCACAGTTCGGACGCGCCGCCGCGGGTGTCGCGCAACAGAGCAGCGACATGTTACTGAAAGGCTTGTTCCCTCTAGCCAATAGCTCCTTCAAAAAAAGAAAATGTGAAGGTGTTGCTCCCGGCCCTCGTTTCAGTCGCTTCATCTCAATATGTGCCTTGCCCCCCCTTGGGCTGCCCACGTGTCTCGTGGCCACATGTTGCGAAACTCCATTTTGGATGCCCCCCTCGTGAACGCCCCCGAAAACAAGGACATCGATATATCATAATATTATGTCAGAAAAGGAATTGGAATAATAAGAATAAGAACACCGACACCAAGAAAACAATAAGAAGAAGAAGAGAGGGGGCAGAAGAGGAGTGGGAGGAGGAGCGGGGGGGTCAATAGGAAATAGGCTCAGGCATCCGCCTGTTTTGTTTTGTTTGGCGCCGCGGCCCCAGAGTTTCCAACTCCTCCCCCCCGGATAGGCTTGTGTCCCGCATGCGTTTTGGATGCTCCCGTGGCCGTGGCAGTGCCCTGCGGGCAGGAATCGGGGCAACCGTCCGAGGCCGAAAAACAATTGTGGGACACTGTCTGGGATTGTAAACAACCATGTCATGGTGCCTCTGATGCGCGACCTTGTGAGGCGGGGTGAGATTCCAAGATGACGATGTTGAGCAGGTCCCAAATGCGGAAATTGAGAAACCGCCGTGTAACACTGAGGCACCCGAAGATCTATGTCATCATCTTGCAGCACGCATACCATTTCCACCGTGCTCCCACGATCTGGCTTTGCGGAGTTCTGTTGTAGGAGGCGCCAGCCACGGGTCGTTTTCGCCTCCCGGCACTACCTGGTGGAAAGAACGACGTATCCATGCTATTCGTTGTTCTCGAGGTGAACATCTATTCTTTGCTGTCAATACTGTGGGGATGCGGCCGCCCGTTGCACCCGCCGTTTTTTCACATGGTGCGAGGTTGGCATGACATTTGGTGCCAGTTCCGATGCAACTCGCGCGAAAGCATGCGCGAACGTAGGTGCCGTGGCGGGCCACGGGGTCATGATTGCATTTCTACCAGGTGCATATGTTATTCTTCTTTGCCGCGGGTTGACGATGTTGAAGTGCAAGCTGCAATTATGCCCACGGTCCCAGCGAACCAGTTCGAACCCTGCTTGGGTCCTCTGCGCGTGGCATTTTCTGTGACCGGTCAGTTCTCCTGCGCAATGACGCGGCGCATTTGATCCAGGCTCGGTGGCGAGGTGTTGGGGCAGGCAGGGTCAGCAGTGCGGTTTTTTGTTTCAAGTGGCGCATGCAGCAATGAGAACCACGACACGGACACGGATGATCAAGAGGACGATCTTGCCAATTCTCCGGGATTTCTTGTTGTGAGGTATGCGGTCATGGGGAGTTCGACAACGAATGCACTCAGTTCGAGCGGCGCAACAAGTTTTCAGGACGCAGCCCAACGTTGGACACTAGAACAGGGGAGCTCCTCGTCGGACACTGCCCTGCAGTATGCTTACCGCCCCGCAAACCCGACCGACGGAGCCCAAGTATTCTGGCGAGAATGGCATTCTGTAGAAAGGCTGATCCCGGCGGAGATCCGCAGGGACATCGAGTTCATGGAGTCGAAGTTGATCAAGCTAAGTTTTTTTTTGCGGAAGCTTTGTGTGGCGACTTCAGTGGGAGATTTTGCTAGTCCAGGCGGGCCCTAAGCAGCGCGAAAGAATGACAGAGGGGAAAAGGATTTGGAACATCCCCGAGGGGCCCCCAAAAGGCCTGGGGGCCCATGCGGAGAGAACGTCCTGCTGGCGGCCGTCCGCCCCAGTCGGCACCGGTGCCAGGGCCGCGGACGACAGAATTGCCCCGCAGGAGTTCCCCAAGCCGACTCGTGTCGGGACGCGCCACTCTATGGGGGAGGTCACAGCCAACAGGCTGGAGTACAAGGTTTAGCCGCAATGTAGGTGCAAGTCCTCGGTCAGCATTTCAGGTCAGGCGGGATGTAACCAGGAGCCCTTTAGGCAGGGCCAAGCCCACCACATCCACACAGTCTACAGTGAGCGGGGCAAAGGCAGCGACGTGGTGCCAAGCAAGCCACCCTTCCAGTTCGAGTTTGCTCCCCCCGGTCATTCTGCGGCCCGCCTCCAACGCAAGAGAACGATGTTGATCTGTGGCTGGTCCTCGTGGCGAAGTGCCACATGATCCCTGTGCCGATGCTGGCCTGCGGCTGGAGCGGCTCCCCGTTCGGGGCGTTCCCTGGCCATTGGCCATTGGGTCGGATGGCCGCCCTGCCCCGGGTGTTCGCTCCGGAGCTGGACCGCCTTGTAGCCCGTGCGTGCGGTAGTCAAGGTTGTTCACGTAGGCGCCCGTATTGTTAAGTCGGGCCTGTCCCTCTACAGGAGGAATATTCAAAAATAGTCCAAAATTAGTGTGGGGACGATTTTTTAGCATGCTTTGATTATTTGGGAGCACTTTTGATCATTTTTTATTTATCGTCTCAAATCCCCCTGTAGGGGGACACGCCCGACTCAAACGTATTGCACCGGAGCGCCCGCAGCTCCACCACGCCAACGTTTGGTCCAGGATGCGCTCGCGGAACATGGCGCCGAGGCTTATGATGCAGGACGGCCAGCTAGCAGGCTAGCGGGAGGCGCCGATTCTACACCCCGAAGCAACAGCGTCTTCCATTCGAGCAGCGTGGCCGCCGCGCAGAGCCCGACGAAGTTCAGCACCCCACCCGCACCAAGGAATGGATCGTGTGGGTTGAGGTTGGCGCCGTCCTGGATGCGGGCCACGAAGTCGCCGCCTCCGTGCAATGCGTGGAGCTCCGCGTCGTGCTCGTAGCTGCACGCTGCCGCACGATCGCTTGGCACGTGACCCACAGTGGCTGCAGTGGACGGAGAGCCTCCGACACGGAGCATCTCGCAGCGGCGATCGAGGAATGCGGCCGTGGTTCTCCAGGCAGTGGGCCGAGGATCGTTTCGAGGCCGGTGGCGTCGCAGTGCGCCCTTCGCTCGCCTGCCGACACGGCCAGGCGGCCGAAGCATGGCAGCAGTTGGTCCAGGTGCGGCTTGTACGAGCTCGGCGGGCACAGGCACGCTCCGATCACTGGCGGTGGCGAAGCAGCCAGCTTCTCGACCCCTTCAGAGCGAGAAGATGTCTGCCTCGCATCTGCGGGCTCCCAGCTGCTGGTGTGCTGGGCCCGCGTGCATGCCGAGGACCTCGACGTCGACGTCCGAGGCTTCCCACTTCGTGGGCTCCTTCTCCGGTGCGGGCAAGCCCCTCTGCGGACGCTGGGCAAGGTCGTTCATGCCTTCACCGGCTTCGAAGTGGGTGCGGTGACACGACCTGGCGGGTTCGCGCATTGGGTCGGCCGAGTTGTCTCGAGCGGCAACATGTGAGCTCGAGAATGGCGCGATGCTTGCCACGGACGGGAGGAGGAGGAGGAGGAGGAGGAGGAGGAGGAGGAGGAGGAGGGGCAGGAGGGGGAGGAGCGGGAGGAGGGGGAGGAGGAGGAGGAGGAGGAGGAGGAGGAGGAGGAGGAGGAGGAGTTGAACGAGGACAGGGCAGGACTGAGGGGAGGACAAGGAGGAGGACAGGGATGAGGAGGAAGAGGAGGAGCAGGAGGAGGAGGGGGAGGAGCGAGAGGAGCGATGAGGAGGAGGAGGAGGAGGAGAAGGAGGAGGAGGAGGAGGAGGAGCAGGAAGGACCAGTGGAAACCCAATACGAACCAACGATGTTGCCATAAACCCTCCCTCCAGGTTTCCTCTTGACATGTCCGTACAATATGATTTCTCTTTCAGGGAATTGCCGACTTGGATGACGACCGTTTGCGATTCCTCAATTGTGCCAGAACGTAGTTCCTGGGACTTCAGCGCCGCGAATCAACGTGACTGTTGCGTCCTGGCAGTCTTGAGACGTGCCAGAACACCATTCGTGGGACTTCGACGTTGCGAATCAACGTGATTGTTGCGCCCTGAGAATCCCAACCTGTGCCATGACACTGTTCATGGTATTTGTACCTCGCGGATCCCTGACACTATTGTAAACTTTCAAAACAAATGTTTGCGGTTGAGGCGAGAACCACGTTTTTTCAAGGAGCCGCACTCCATCCTGGAAGTGCATGCAAACGGTGCCCCCAGCAAAGCGTGCGCGGCGCTGTGGCGAGGAGCACAAGCTGTAGGGCAACGCCATCCGTCCTTGATGCTGCTGCGAACTTCCAAGACGAGCGTGTGCACCTCGCGGAGGCGAGAGCTATACCTGCTGAACACCACCCGCCCTCCATCCGTGACACTGCTGCAGCTCTCAAGCGCCGAGCTCAGGAATGGCGCCAGGAAGCCTCCGGCGAAGCGCCCTGGCCCTCCCTGCCGACACGCCTGGGGGTGCGCCAGGGAGAATTCATGTGAGGGGAAGGGGAGTGGAGGAGGAACGGGAGGATCGGGAGGAGCAGGAGGAGGGGCGCGTCCCGCGCGCTCCCCGCCGCGCGCCCCGCGTGCGCGCGCAGGCGCCCACCGCGGAGCAGATGGCCTTCGTCCGGAGGCGGGCGGCGTGCCCCAGTCGAGCAGGCGGTCGCGATAGCGATACGTTTCAGGCTGGTCACGCTGCGTCTTCGGGGGACCTCGCCTGTTCCCAAAACTGGTGTCGTTTCTTGTGCCCGACGCGGGCTCGATGCGGACTCGAGGCGGTTTTGGCGCGGACTCTTTGACACGGATCCGATGAGTCCGAGATGGATTCGGCACGGATTCGACGCGGATGGGGCCGTGACGAGACAGACAAGGTCCCCCGAGGATGCACGTGATCGTTTTCTTATTCATTGTTTTGCCGATCGGCGCGGGCCCTCCGACCCCCCCCCGCCCCCCCACCCCTTCGTGGAGTAGATCTTGGCTGTTTTTGGCGCCTGTTTCAGGCACGTGGAGTTTCTTCCATAGGACGCACTGCCGCAAACAGTCGCATTGAGCAGAGGTCCGGAGCCAGACCTTCCCCCCTCCCTCTCCCCCCCTTCCGCCCAATGTCGAGACGGCGAACAAGAAAGCGCTTACCAACAGAACGATTTGGAGCCCGCTTGGGGGTGCCCTTCTCGGGTTGACCCAAAAGGGGGTCCAGCGACAAGGGGGTGGTGCGTTAGATTTGGTGCAATAGATTTGTGGGTTTGCAGTACATTTGGGGCGTGCAACATACATTCTTGGGCGCAAATGTATTGCTGGATTTTCGCGTGCAATGCATTACTTGCAATACAATGCAACACAATCCTCCAGCGCAATACATTAGCAAAAGAATTGCCCCAAATGTATTGCACCACCCCCTTTCAGCTAGAGCCCCTTTTGGGTCACCCAAACATTCGCCGAGCCCCAGCCGCACGGAAACGAAAACTCCGGAGCAGGTTTTGTATAGCCTGGCCGCCCACCTCGCCGGCTCGCGGGCGACTCCGCGCCGCGGCGCCCGCTTCGGCGGGCCGAGGGAGGGGCGCGGCTGCCGGCGAGGACGCGGGGGGCGGAAAGCAGACCAGGTCTGAGTTGACCCAGCACTGGTTCTGGCGAGCAGGAAGGGGGGCGAGGATCGGGGTCATGGGTTCGAGGAGGCTTCTCTCGCCCGTTCCGGCCTCTGGGGGGCCGTGTGCGGGCCCCGGGACCGTCAAGACTGGCTCCAGGGTGAAACGCTGCACCAGATGGACCCCCTGCCCTCCTCCTCCAATCCTCCAATCCTCCAATCCTCCTCCTCCTCCTCCTCCTCCTCCTCCTTCCCCTCTTCCTCCTGCTCCTCCTTCTCCTCCCCCTCCTCCTCCTCCTCCTCCTCCTCCTCCTCGTCCTCCTCCTCCCCCTCCTCATCCTCTTCCCCCCCAGGAGGGGTCTAGGAATTGATGTTTGGCGGATCTCCTCTCTGACCGATGTTCTCGGGGCGCAGCCAGCTCAGACCCCCCGTCCGCCTTCCAGTTCCAAGATGTCCAGGGACGGCACGGATTTTGGAATGAACGACGTAGTAGAAAGCGTGATGGTTGTTTGTGCTGTATGCGTGCGCGGTTTGTCCTTGCTCGGTTGGCGGCGGGGTTCCCTGGTATGCGGGTTCCCGGGTCCCTGGTTGATCTCCTTATCCATCGGTCTCACCCCATCGACCTCAATACCAAACTCTCAACCGATCTCCTCCATCGATCTCACCATCGATATCACAAAAGACCGCACGTGCGATCTCACGATCGATTTCACTATCGATCTCACTGAATCGACTTCACTATACTATCGGTCTCACGATCCATCATACTATCGTCCTCACTATCGATCCCGCGATCGATCTCACTATCGATTTAACAATCGATCTCAGTATCCATATCACGAATTCTCCAACAATCCATTGTTTGGGGTGTTTCTCTGGTGTATCTTGTAACCTACATGGTGGTTGGCCGATTACGCAGGCGGCTCACGCAGGACCCCTGCCCCGCTAACCACCATTCGGGATTACGAAATGGCGATTGGGAGCCAACGCCCCAGCCACAATTTCGGCAAGCCGAAGACCTCCAGATCTTCCTTCCAAAGAGATCGTTTTCTGTCCTCTGGCGCATCACGGTCGTTACCCAGGCTCCCCCCCCCCGTTAACCGTAACGATCGTACGGGGGGGGGGGGGCCCGGACCCCCCCACCCCACGTGCTGGTGCCCGCGCGCACACTGTGGCGGTCGTTGCGCGCCCCCTCCTGCGTGCACCACCCGCCAAAACGCTCCCGTCACCGGGTGCCCCACCAGAAGTGATAAACGGCGATATCAAACGGGCATCGTGAGCCCGTCGCACCCTGACATCCCTCTGCGTCCCAGCGCCGACACCTGGTGTGGGGGGAGGGAGGCGAGGCGAGTCGCCGTGAAGCATCGGGGGGACCAACATGGGTACGGAAACATATGGGTACGATGACCGACAGCGCGTCCAATTTCGGCTTCAATCTGGGCGTCAAGGGGCCTTGCATCCTTGCTGCGCAGCCTTCTGATCCAGTCGCACTGCAGAAGAGGCAGGGGACGGGTTCCAACGCGGGCGTGGTGTTCTCTTCTTGTGGGCCGTTGCCACCACGTACTTCTTGCCTCCCCCAGCTCCTACGGGCCGCGGGCCCTCCGTCCTGAATTCCGCTTTTCCGGCCCCCTCCTCCTCACCCTGCCTCCACAGCTCCCATCTTCTCGCCCTTCTGGGCGCCCTCTGTTGTTCGCGCGCCCTGGCCCCTGCCCTCTCCGGCGTCCGCCCTCCCTGGCCCCTGCCCTCCTTGGCGCCCCCGCCCTCCCTGGCTCCCGCCTGGCTCGCCCGCTGCGCCTCCCCACGATCGGGGGAGCGCCTGGTTTCGCCGACGGCTCCTCTCGCCTGGCCGGTTTGGCTTGGCGGCTGGTCTCGCGGACGCCGGTTTCGCCCGGCGGGCTTCGCCGATCCGCCCGCGCCCCGCTGGTTTCGCCGCCCCGCCCGCCCGCCCCGCCGCCCGTTAGTGTCCCACCCGTTCGCGCGTTGGCAAGCCGGCCTGCTCTAACCTGGCATCTCTCGGACGTGTGCTCTTTTTCTCGGCGACGACCATCGAGGAGCATATTGGGCCACTTTGCGAAAAAAGCCACGCACGAAACCGAGAAATGCACTGGGAATGGACGTCCGAGCGATGGCAGGCTAATGTCCTGCCCGTCCGACCTACCCCGGCGAACCCCGCCGTCGACGAGACAGGCCCTGGCGAAGCCAGCCGCCGGCGAAACTAGCCGTGGCGAAGCCAGCCGGCGGCAAAACCACACGGCCGAAGCCAGCGCCAGCGAAGCCAGTGCTGGCGAAAACAGCCCAGGTCCACGGAAAGACCTCATTGCCCCCTTCCCTCCTCTTCTGCTTGCCCGTCTGCCTTTGCCCCCCCCTCCGTCCCGTCCGTTCTCCTCCTGCTCCGTCCTCCCAGTTCTCAGATTCTTGTGTCATCCTTCCACCATCCTCCAATCTTTCTCTTCTAACCATCCACTCGTCCTTGTCCCTTCGTGTCCCTCCTTACCCAATCTGCCAGTCGCTTCATCCTGATGTCTCAACTCCTCCTTTCCCGTCCTCTTCTCCAAACCCCGCCCTCGGGCACGCGGCGCGCCCGCTCTCGTTGGCGGCCACCCCACCCTTCCGTCGGCACGGCCCGACCGGCGAGGGTCGTCGACGAGATCGTCAAGGACGGCAAGCCGTCCGACATGGAGCCGCCGGCGAAGAAGCCGGCCGTTTCAGGCCCGTGGGGGCCCTGCTGGATGATACAACCCTTAAGTCGGGCCTGTCCCTCTACAGGAGGAAAATTCAAAAATTGTTTTAAGAAATAGTCTGGGGACGATGTGTTGAGTATTTGTGTAGGTTGTTTGCGCATATGTCTGACTATTTTTTATTTTTCGTCCAAAATCCGCGTGTAGGAGGACACGCCCGACCTAATACAACCCCGAGAGCGCACGGGTGGCACCCAGGGTTCCGCGGGCCTGATTTGTTCAGACCGGGCGCGTTTTCGCTCACGTCGGCCTCCCGGGGGGCTGCTTCTGGGCCCCGGGGCCATCAACGCATGTGCCGCCCCGGGGTGAAGCATTGTTCTTCCCGCGTTAATCGCCGGGCGCGTGCCTCTACTCGCTAAGTGCCTGCTCGCAAGCGTCCGAAAAGATGTGTTCCTTTTTGTATTGTTCACCACCCACCAAACCACCCCAACCCAACCTGAAGGCCTCAATTTGCGCTCCATTTCCAGTGGGGGGGGTTCCAATGAACATCGAAAACACATATATGGAGCCCATACCCCCCCAACCCGAAATTCGGGTCTTCGGGTTGGGTTGGGGTGGTGCGGTAGGTAGTCAACTGTACCGTAGATCCCCCGCGGCGGATCCAGGCCATTCGCGAGTAGCTACTCTAGGAGCAGTGGAACTCGCGCGTCCAGTGAAGGAAACGCATCGTCGCATGGATGTCTGATGTCTGGGCAGCTGGCTGTCCGCAGGAGCGCTCGGGTGGGCCCCCCCCCCCAGCGGGGGGGGGTCAGGCAGCCGGGTGCGCTTGGGGAGCGGTCCCGTCATCGGGGGCCGGGTCCAGGGTGGACCCTGGGGCGACGGGGCAGCCCCCATGCAGGGCGCCCCCATGCAGGGCGTATGCAGGTCGGGCGTGTCCTCCGACAGGGGGAGCTTGGGCGAAGTATGAAAAGATAGTCAAGCGATGCTCAACAAATATGGAAACGCGCGCAAAAGGTAATCCCCGGACCATTGGCTGTTAACTACTTAATTTGAATAGGGGGACACGCCCGACTTAATGTTTGGCAGCCGTCGGGGGGGGGGGGGGCCGAGGTCTCTTCTGACCGGCGGGGAGGCGCGCTCTGGTGGCGCCCCTCGGTTCGGGTATGGCTAGGACCCCAGGTAGGGGACCCGGTTAGTGGCAGTGCCCCGAAGCCCCTGGCTTGGCCAGAGTGTCTGAACCAGCTTTGCCGCAGGTGGTGTTTTCTGGGGGGCTCGGCAGCGTCGGTTAGTGGAACGGGGCGGCGGGACGCCCCGGTACACATTACTAAACCAGGTCCCACTAAACCCAGTTCTGCCAACGCCCGATCGGCATCGCGGGAGAGCGGCGACGGCTGCACGGCTGGCGGGAGGAGGAGGACGCGAGCCCTGCTGCGCAGTGTGCTCTCGCTGCAGCCGCCGAGGCGCTCCGCGCGGCGCTGCGCAGTGGCGCGCGGCACGCCCGCCGCAAGGCAGCGGCACAGCACGCCGCGCGCGCCCAGCCTTCGGCTGCCGGGACCCCCGTAGAGTCTGGGCACTCGGCTTGGCCTTAGGTCGGGCAGGTCCTACAGGCGGCTTTGGACGAAAAATAAACCAATATTTTGACCAGGAATAGCCAAAAAGATTCATCAAGACATCGTCCCCATAAGATTGTTAGACTAGTTGTGAATATTCCTCCTGTAGAGCGACATGCCCGATTTAAGCCTGGCCTTAAAATTTGGACGTTGGGACGCCCCCGGTCAGGGAGGGCTCGCCCGGCGTGGTGTGCCGCCGCCGGCGAGAGAGGGGGATGGTGGATGGGGGGATGGAGGATGTGGGAAAGGAGGATCGGGGAACGAAGAATGACATGAGCATAAAAACTCGGAGGTCCGCGCGGATTTCTCGGATCCGCGCTGGAGCCCCCTGGCGGCGCCTCCAGCGCCGCCCCTGGCGCGCTCCGCGCGGGTTTGGGTTGATCCGATCCGGGTCCGTAGATTGAAGTTGGGTTTGTCCCTTCACAGGAGGAATATTCAAAAACGATTCAAAAAGAGTCTGGGGACGATGTTTGTCCTACTATTGTTTTGATTTTTTGGGGGTATGTTTAGTTATGAGTATTCTGGTTATTCTTTGTGTTATTAGTATTATTATGACTCATGTCATTAATATTATGTTTTGACTGTCGTCCAAAACCCGCTTGTAGGAGGACCTGGACACGCCCGACCTAACCGTAGATCCTCGACAGGCTCGGGGTAGAGGGTTTCTCCGAAGGGCTTAGGCGACCCGCCCTCCTCCTCCTCCTCCTCCTCATCCTCCTCCTCCCCCTCCCTCTCCTCCTCCTCCTCTCCTCCTCCTCCTCTTCCTCCTCCTCCTCCTCCTCCTCCTCCTCCTCCCCCTCCTCCTCCTCTTTCTCCGCCTCCTCCTCCTCCTCCTCCTCCTCCTCCTCCTTCCCCTCCCCCCTCCTCCTTCCCCTCCTCCTCGAGCTGGCTCCCACCTGTCGTTCCCTCGCAACAGGGGGCGTCCTCACGAACCTGTTGGGCAGGTTGGTGTGCGTGGCCCGGCGCGGGCGTCCTCTCTGGGCTCCCAAACCGTCGTGGGCCAGCCGCATTGCCAGCAGCGCCGCACGCCAGCCCGATTCGATCCAATTCTGATGTCCCGATGGTCTGATGCGGTCAGATGTGTTTGTATGGCGGTGCTGTGCATCCTGGCGCGGCCGATCTGATTCGATCTCGACCCCGTGTCGATGCGGCTCAATTCCAGTGCGATGGTTGCGATAATTCGAGGTGTGCCTTGATCAGCGGGGAACAAAAAGACGCACGCGTAGATGGGTTCACGTGGGTCTTGAGAGAGCGCGTCACGAGAGCGTTCTTGACATGAGGGCGGCCTCGCGAGCTTGGTGCGGCACGTTCACGCACGTGGTCGAGCGCGCACGTCCATGTTGGGCTCCCTACTCCACGACAGGTTCGCGTCGTGTCGACGCGGCGGCGTCCCCGATGTGGGTGTCCAAGATTACGACGCCGCCGATAGCGCAGGATCGGCCAATACGGAAAGATATGGCGGTCGAAACGCCGCTGGCTACTTAAGGCCGAAGCAGCCGCGCCTTGCCCTGCAGCATCGCAGAAAATGACATCTGGAGCTCCGGGCACTATCTTTCTGTCTCATTTTCCGAGCTAGATCGATCTGTGAGGGTCCTGGTCCCTAAACTGAGCGAAAACCGGGCGGGGCTAGAGTGAGGACAAATCCGTTCGAGATCATTCTTAGACGCTCTGAGAGCGTTCTGGAACGCTCTGACAAGGCCGCGGCGCCCGAGACATCCTCCAGAGCCGCTGGATCTCAGCGATTCTAAATGTATCCTCACCCGATGGTGCCCTCGCCCTGGCTTCGTATGATCTCGGTCCCGAAACTGCCAAAAAGCAAGCAAGACAACACCACCTTCATTCCTCCATGTGGCGCTGCAGCCCATCTGGGGCCGCAGCGTACACCACGCAAACGCCCACGCCTGATCTTCTGGTATACGCTAAGGCCCTTGGGGCCGCAGGTGGGGTGGTATCGTTTGTTTTCTGTCGGCGGCGAGCGAGGAGGGGAAGTGAGAAGGAGAAGGCCTTCTCAGAAGGCTCGGAAGCCTCCCGACCTGCTGAGAAGCTTTCTCAGCCTCCCCCGAAGACACGGAAGACTTCTGAGGAGGAGGCGCGAGGGTTTTTGATAAGCCCTTTTCTGATAGGGCCTTCTCCTTCTCATGGCGCCCACATCGCAGAGCGGATTGCGGTCGGAAAACCCTGGGATGGGCCCAGACTGTCCTGGAGAATTTCGTTTCGGATTTCAAAGTGAATTTCGCGCAGATTTGTGTGTGGCCTGGAAGGAAGACAAGCAAAAACAAGTCCACGCGAAACTCACTCCGTTTCTTTGCTTGCCGTTTCGGAGCTTCGCACTGGCAGGAACCCACGCAGAAATCCGCTGCAGCACGCCCCCCCTCCGATCGCCGCCGGCTCTGGTCCCCAGCGAAGCAGGGCGACGATATCGGGACGACCGACAGGGGTACGGAAAGAATGGGTATACAAAGACCGACGGCAGCTCTTCTTCTTCATGAACCGGATTCGCTGCCAGCGCCGCCGCGGATGGTGTCCATTTGAGGCAGACGGCCGCCTGCCAAACAGCGGCCGCTGCTGGTTCGGGACAACATCTGCTGTTGCCCATTGTTTCCGTGCCCTGATGGGCATGTTTTCCACCACCACCACCATAAGTTGGAGTGGGGGGTCCTCCTCCTCCTCCTCCTCCTCCTCCTCCTCCTCCTCATCCTCCTCCTCCTCCTCCTCCACCTCCTTCCCCCCTCCAACTTATGGTGGTGGTGGTGGAAAACAGGCCCATCATGCCCATTTCCGGCGTCCGGAGACGACGCCCGTTGGGAGCGCATCGCCTCGCCGGGCTCTCGAGAGCCCGCCGCCCCCCCCCCGGGCGCGCCCAGGCGCCGCGGAGGCGCGCCCCGCCGCCGGTGGCGCCGCCGCGGCGCCCGAGGGAAAGGAGCGGCGGCGCGCGCGCGGGGGGCGCCTTTCCTCTCAAGCAGTGGCGAAGCGCCCCGGAGTGCACATAGGCCTACCAAACAATGTTCTAAGAACCTTTTGTTGTGGTTCCCACGAGATGTTCTTAGAACATTTCTGGCTGGGGCTGTCTTGTTTTCTCGCATCGGGCTGATGTTCTAAGAACATTGTCTTTGTGCTTAGAGCACTGTTGGGTTCTAAGGACATTTCGTGGTAGGACTATAGGAATGCTGGGACGGTCGGTCCCTGTCCAATCCTCGGGGCCTCCCATATTGAATCGGGCCGAACGAAAGGGGGGGATTGGGAAAAGGGGGGGGTACAAAATCTCCTGCATGCAGCTGGTTTCGGCCCCACCGAGGGGCCCATTCCTCGATCCATGGGCGCCTCCCAGCGCCGGGAGGCGCCGGGAAAGTCAGCTGCGTGAGACGATTCTCAAACCCCCTCTTCGTTATCCCCTCCCTTTCGCCCGACCCGACCTTCCTCTCAAGCAGTGGCGAAGCGTCCCGGAGTGCACATAGGCCTACCAAACAATGTTCTAAGAACCTTTTGTTGTGGTTCCCACGGAATGTTCTCAGAACATTTCTGGCTGGGGCTATCTTGTTTTCTCGCATCGGGCTAACGTTCTAAGAACACTGTTTTTGTGCTTAGAGCACTGTTGGGTTCTAAGGACATTTCGTGGTAGGACTATAGGAATGCTGGGACGGGCGGTCCCTGCTCAATCCTCGGGGCCTCCCATATTGAATCGGGCCGAACGAAAGGGGGGGATTGGGAAAAGGGGGGGTTACAAAATCTGCTGCATGCAGCTGGTTTCGGCCCCACCGAGGGGCCCATTCCTCGATCCATGGGCGCCTCCCAGCGCCGGGAGGCGCCGGGAAAGTCAGCTGTGTGAGCCGATTCTCAAACCCCCTCTTCGCTATCCCCTCCCTTTCGTTCGGCCCGATGAAAGTCGGGCGTGTCCCTCTACAGGAGGAATTTTCAAAAATAGTCGAACAAGTGGTCTGGGGACCATGTGTCTATCATTGTTTCAGATGTTTTGGATATGTTCTGACATTTTTTATTTTTCGTCATTCCCGACCTAACCCTGGGCCTCCCAGATGGGGTCGGAGGATCGTACCGCATCGCCGATGCACCGCCGATGCGGCTCGATGTGGGGCCGAGTTTCTCCACGCTGGTGTCGCCGATGCATCGGCGATGCATCCCCGATGCATCGGCGGTGCGGTGCGATCCTCCGACCCCACCTACTCCGACCCCATCTGGGAGGCCTCTGCTTCCTCGGGGAGGGACACATCGACACCCAGAGAAATCAAGGGAGGAAACTGTACCCAGGCCCCGACAGTTGGCGTTTCCTAGACGGCCCTGGGAGTTTCCTAAACAGCCTTGCCTTGTTCGATTCCCTCCTTGGGTACGTTTACTGAACGGCTTCGCTTGTGGGGATCCTTATTATGGTAGGGAACATGCACACCCAGAGCAAGAAAAGACCCAGGCCTGTCGTTGAAGTTAGGTATTTCTCGATCCTCAGATCCCAATCTTCTTTAGGCGCCTTCTTCAATCATCAACTGATCTCCCCTCTTCCCTCATCTTCAGCGGGCGGGCGGAAGCCCAATCTGTTTCAGCGCCGTCCTACTTGATGGTTCTTTCCGACCGACGGGTCCTGATGCCACTTTTCTTGCTTCGTTTTCCCCTTCTTCCCCACATGTTTCGTGGGGTTCTGGTTTTCTTCCCTGCCGCGCCGCACCCGCGTCTCACACCTCCCCCCTCCCCTTCTCCTTCTCGCACAGCACAGCACAGCACAGCACTGGTCAGCATAGCTCAGCACAGCTCAGCTCAGCTCAGCACAGCTCAGCTCAGCTCAGCTCAGCACAGCACAGCACAGCACAGCACAGCACTGCTCAGCATAGCTCAGCACAGCTCAGCTCAGCTCAGCTCAGCACAGCACAGCTCAGCACAGCACAGCACAGCACAGTACAGCACAGCACAGCACAGCACTGCTCAGCACAGCTCAGCACAGCTCAGCTCAGCTCAGCACAGCACAGCTCAGCTCGGTCGTCCAGGCCGTAGCAGGCGTGGCACTTTCTCGATACCATAGGGGGTGCGCAGGGGGTGGTCCCCCTATCCGCGCCGGTCGTCCAGGCCGTAGCAGGCGTGGCAGTTTCTCGACGCCATAGTGGGTGCGCACGGGGTGGTCCCCCTATCCGCGCCGGTCGTCCAGGCCGTAGCAGGCGTGGCAGTTTCTCGACACCATAGGGGGTGCGCAGGGGGTGGTCCCCCTATCCGCGCCGGTCGTCCAGGCCGTAGCAGGCGTGGCAGTTTCTCGAGGCCGTAGCCATAGGGGGTGCGCACGGGGTGGTCCCCCTATCTAGGCCGTAGCAGGCGTGGCAGTTTCTCGGTCGTCCAGGCCGTAGCAGGCGTGGCACTTTCTCGACACCATAGGGGGTGCGCACGGGGTGGTCCCCCTATCCGCGCCGGTCGTCCAGGCCGTAGCACACCAGGGGGTGGGCAGAGCAGGCGTGGCACTCGACACCATAGGGGGTGCGCAGGGGGTGGTCCCCCTATCCGCGCCGGTCGTCCAGGCCGTAGCAGGCGTGGCAGTTTCTCGACGCCATAGTGGGTGCGCACGGGGTGGTCCCCCTATCCGCGCCGGTCGTCCAGGCCGTAGCAGGCGTGGCACTTTCTCGATACCATAGGGGGTGCGCAGGGGGTGGTCCCCCTATCCGCGCCGGTCGTCCAGGCCGCAGCAGGCGTGGCAGTTTCTCGACGCCGTAGTGGGTGCGCACGGGGTGGTCCCCCTATCCGCGCCGGTCGTCCAGGCCGTAGCAGGCGTGGCAGTTTCTCGACACCATAGGGGGTGCGCACGGGGTGGTCCCCCTATCCGCGCCGGTCGTCCAGGCCGTAGCAGGCGTGGCACTTTCTCGACACCATAGGGGGTGCGCAGGGGTGGTCCCCCTATCCGTCGGGCCGTTATCGCAGGGGGTGGTCCCCCTATCCGCGCCGGTCGTCCAGGCCGTAGCAGGCGTGGCACTTTCTCGACACCATAGGGGGTGCGCACGGGGTGGTCCCCCTATCCGCGCCGGTCGTCCAGGCCGTAGCAGGCGTGGCAGTTTCTCGACACCATAGGGGGTGCGCAGGGGTGGTCCCCCTATCCGCGCCGGTCGTCCAGGCCGTAGCAGGCGTGGCACTTTCTCGACACCATAGGGGGTGCGCAGGGGGTGGTCCCCCTATCCGCGCCGGTCGTCCAGGCCGTAGCAGGCGTGGCAGTTTCTCGAGGGGTGCGCACGGGGTGGTCCCCTATCCGCGCCGGTCGTCAGGCCAGCAGGCGTGGCAGTTTCTCGACACCATAGGGGGTGCGCAGGGGGTGGTCCCCCTATCCGCGCCGGTCGTCCAGGCCGTAGCAGGCGTGGCAGTTTCTCGATACCATAGGGGGTGCGCACGGGGTGGTCCCCCTATCCGCGCCGGTCGTCCAGGGCAGAGCAGGCGTGGCACTTTCTCGACACTTAGGGGGTGCGCAGGGGGTGGTCCCTGAGCGCGGCCGCTATCCGAGACGGTCGTCCAGGGCATAGCAGGCGTGGCACTTTCTCGACACCATAGGGGGTGCGCAGGGGGTGGTCCCTGAGCGCGGCCGCTATCCGAGACGGTCGTCCAGGGCATAGTAGGCGTGGCACTTTCTCGATTCCATAGGGGGTGCGCAGGGGGTGGTCCCTGAGCGCGGCCGCTATCCGAGACGGTCGTCCAGGGCATAGTAGGCGTGGCACTTTCTCGATTCCATAGGGGGTGCGCAGGGGGTGGTCCCCGAGCGCGGCCGCTATTCGAGACGGTCGTCCAGGGCATAGCAGGTATGGCACTTTCTCGACACCATAGGGGGTGCGCAGGGGTTGGTCCCTCACCGCGGCCGCTATGCACGCCGGTCGTCCAGGGCATAGCAGGTGTGGCACTTTCTCGACACCATAGGGGGTGCGCAGGGGGTGGTCCCTCACCGCGGCCGCTATGCACGACGGTCGTCCAGGGCATAGCAGGCGTGGCACTTTCTGGACAAAATAGGGGGTGCGCAGGGGGTGGCAACGGCCACCAACATCATTCTTACCTGCTTCACTTCAGCTATCATCACTCCAGCCATAATATAAGTATGTGGGGTTCCTCGGCAGCGTAATTGGGCCTCCCGGGAGGCCCTCGACGCCATTGCAGGATTCGCCTCGAGGTTGAAACCAAAAAGCATCCCAGGAGAGGTCGGGAGAGTCGGCGGTGTGGGTGGAAACATCGACACCAACACACATAAGCGTCGATTCTCATGAGGATCTTGGAACGTATGGGGAATGGAGAGGAAAAAAAAGTACATGAGATCTGCGAGCACTAAAACATCAGGGGACTCCAATCGATTTGTCTGTGCTCTCCTGGGCCCCTTTATTTCCACGCCCGGTAGCCGCCCTTGGAGGGGCCGGCTTTGCGTCGGGCGCGCGCTGGTGCTCCGAAGGGTGCGGTCGTGACGGAAACCCAGACATGCAGTGCCTTGAGAGAAGCTCCTTCTCCTCCTCCTCTGTCCTCCTCCTCCTCCTCCTCGTCCCTCTCCCCCTCCTCCTTCTCATCCTCCTTCTCCTCCTCTCCTCCTCCCTCCTCCTCCTCCTCCTCCTCCTCCTCCTCCTCCTCCTCCTCCTCCTCCTCCCCCTCCCGCTCCTGCCGCTCCTCCTGGCTGTCCTCCACCACCTCCTCCTCCTCCTCCTCCTCCTCCTCCTCCTCCTCTCGCGCCTCGCTTCCTCGCATCCAGGCGAGGGCTTCTGGCAATTGTCGGCCTCTGGGGGCCGGCGTGACGGGGTCCCATGCATCCAGCGTCTTAAGAGCATCTCTTCTTCCTCCTTGCTCCTCCCAGTTGCTGCTCCTCCTCCCCATCTCGAGCTACCTCCCGCGCCTCGCTTTAAGTCGGGCCTGTCCCTCTGCAGGCGGAATCTGCACGAACAGTCCAGAAATAGTCGGGGGACAATATTTTGATTCCTCTTGATTATTTGGGGGCATTTGTTTTTACTATCTTTATGCTTCGTCCCAAAATCCACCTTGCTAAGCTCATGCCCAACCTAAGCCTCGCTTCCTCGCCTCCGGGCGAGGGCTCCCGGCAGCTGCCGGCGCGCGGTGGGGGGGCCCGTGCGGGGGAGAGGGCCCCGTCCGCAGATCGGCGCGGGGCGCAGAGGCGGCCCCTCGGGGGAGCGCTGGGCGTGAAGGACGCCGAGACTGGAGGGTTTCTCCGGAGGGCTTAGGCGACCCGTCGTCGTCGTCCTCCTGCTCCTCCTCCTCCTCCTCTTCCTCCTCCCTCCTCCTCATCCTTCCTCCTTCTTCATCTCCTCCTCCCCCTCCACCTCCTTCTCCTCCTCTTCCCTTCTCCTCCTCCTCCTCCTCCTTCTCCTCCTTCTCCTCCTCCTCTTCCTCCTCCTCCCTCCTCCTCCCTCCTTCTTCATCTCCTCCTCCCCCTCCACCTCCTCCTCCTCCTCCTCCTCCTCCTCCTCCTCCTCCTCCTCCTCGGGTCGAGAAAAACTCATAAGCATAAGCGTTTTGGCGCTCCGCGTAGATGTCTAGGATCCGCGCGGGGCCCCCCGGCGGCGCCTCCGGCTCCGCCCCTGGCGCGCTCCGCGCGCCAGGGAGGGGGGTCCAGCGCAGATCCAAGAAATCTGCGCGGAGTGCCACAAATGCGCGGCGTTTTTTTCTTCTTCTGCCCCTGGGAGAGGGTCGGCGTGAAGGCAGCCGCGACATCAGCGTCTTGAGGTCGGGAGGGACAGGCCAAACAGTGTCCACACCACGCCCCCGATGGGAGCCTGGTGGCGGGCTGCCATCGGGCCCGGTGGCAGGCCGCTTGTCGTGGTCGCCCCTCTCGGGAGCGACCACGACAAGCGGGGGACAGCCCTGGGCGTTTACTAAACAGCCCTGCCCTGTTTGATTCCTTCTTAGGGCGCGTTCACTGAACGGCCTCGCGTGTCGGGGTGGTTCGTATCGGGGTGGATTTTCTGCCCTCTACCTTCGTGTTTCAGGACCTGGTCCTCCCTGCCCCCCCTGAGCTGCACACCTGCCGCCGGCCACGGTTTGCGCCCCCCCCCCCCCCCCCTCTTGGACGCCCCCGTCTCGCGGTCCCCTGACAGGCAGCGGTGGCGCGTGGCCGCCGACGCGGGCCCCCAGGCTTGAGTCGGGCGTGTCCCTCCACAGGAGGAAGATACAAAAAGTAGCCACGGAAATTGTCAGGGGACGGTTCTTTTCGCATTGCGTGTGTGTGTGTGTGGATGTTTTGACTATTCTGGTTTTTCGTCCAATATCCGCCTGCAGGGGGCACACCCGACCTGACACCAGGAGGCACACAATGGAAACCTACCTTTGACATGCACAAATCAAACCGTTACGGGATATTACATCAACACAATATACATATATATATGTGTGTGTGTGTTAGCCATCGCAATGAGAATTGGACTTCAACATTGACACGAAATTTGCGAAAACAAAACAGAAGCTCACCATTGCAAACAAACGCAACGCTGGAAACTCAGAGACCAGGGCATGAGTACCAGGCCCACTTCGAGGCGGCCTTTGGCGTGCACGCCCTCCCCGGCCTGCGCGCGTGGTCGCCTGCGCGCGCGCCTGCGCCGCGCCGCGCCCTCGCGCGCATGCAGGAGGGGCCGCCCCCCAAGAAGGGCGCCGAGGGCGCGCAGGCGGCCGAAGGCGCGCGCTGTCCGAGCAGCCCTTCCCCCCCCCGGTCTTAGGTCGGGCCTGTCCCTCTACAGGAGGAAAGTCCAAAAAATAGTCAACAAATAGTCCGGGGACGATCTTTTGCTTAGTTTCGAGGGACGTGCCATTTTTTGGACCATGTTCTCTTACTTGTGAATAATTTTGGGGTGTGATTTACGTTTCCTCCTAAATCTCCCTGTAGGGGGACACGCCCGACTTAAGCCTGGGCCCGCCAGCGGCCGCGGCGGCCGCCGCTCGGGCGCTCGCGCGCGCGGGCGCCGAGCACGACGGATGTCTCGCGCAGAGTTCGGGCCGGCGGCGGCCGGCGGCAGCGGCGGTCGGGGCTCAAGGGACGGGGGTCAATGCAAACGGGGGTCAGCCAGAGCGCCCGAGCTTGCAGGATCCTGCAGGGCCAGGGTCGCATCGACTCACCCGGGTCTGGGTGAGAATTCTGCAGGGATCTTGCCGGATCCTGTGCATCGACCCAGGCTTGTCGGGGGTGGACAGACCTCCCACCCTGACACGTCGATTGGCCAATCGGCCGTTTCCGGTTCGCGAGGGGGCGTCGCGGCCGTTATTTTTGCGGGTCCGGGTCCGTCGGTTTCGGTCCTTGGCCGTTATCACTAAAGGGAGGTTTATTGACGGGAGGTTTGTCCACCGTCGAGCCTGGGTGCAGGACCCTGCAGGACTCTGCAGGATCCTGCAGGGCCCGACCGGCCCGGGTCTGCATATTGAGCCGGGTCGGCAGGTCCCCGGGGCGGCATAGGGGGCTCGGCCGTGCTGCCCGCGGCCACCAGTCCGCTCGGCACGACGATCGAACTGGATACGGGGAAAATCAAGAGGGAAAAAAACGCAGGCACAGTGAATCGTCGACTCCCAGGATTGGGAAAACATGGGAAGTGGGGGGCAGGCAAAAACTCAGAAAATATGGGCAAATGTGGGGAATCCTGTTATTTGTGTGTATTTATTTGTGTGTCCTGGGACCCCTTCATGGATACGGGAAGAGTAGGTAGAAAGACCGATCCTGAGATCCTTGGTTTTTGGGCAGCAGTTGGTGCTGGGCATCGTGCCCAATTTTTCCGTACCCATTTTGGGCAGGTGCGTCGCGGAGGGCCCCGCCTTGGGCTTCGGGGTTGTGATGTTCCAACTTGCTTTAGCCCTGAACACTGGAAAGAATGTCGAGCACCAAGAAAGTAACGGAGCGGGAGGGTTTTCACGCACATGCTAACGCACCATCCAGCAAAGCACGGCGTTTTTCAAACCCAGGATTTGGGAATTTCGTGCTGCATGTTGTGCGAGGTAGCCGTTTGGCTCAAGCCGCGTTGTTCGCTCAAGCGTCACGTTCATCGATTGTGCGTGCTCGCACGGGCTAAGCGAGACAATTTTACGAGACGTTGGGCGAGATTATCTTGGGCAATGTCGGCACCAACACAGACACGAGTCAGGGCCGATTCTCCAAAGCCAGCGCCAAAAGACGGTGGGTCGAGCAAGCAATGTGCGAACAAGGTGCAGCAACAGGACAGCGGTGGCCGATCGGGTAAGAGCACAATTATTGTTGCAGGTGTGTGCGTTGTTTCTTTTTTTGCGTACACGTATTTTGGCAGTAGAGTCGATGTCAAGGCTGGTCTTGAGGCAGCAGTTGATTTCGTTGAGAAGCAGGGTGATACTGCTATATGGTGGTATATTATGTTCACGTTTGTTGGCGTGATTTGTCTTGTGCCGACGACTCTCATGGAGGTTTCAGGTGGCTTCCTTTTGGGTTCGCAATACGGCCTCTGGTTGTATCCGATCACTGGTGCTACGAAGCTTTGTGCCAATGTTGTTGCTGTTCTGATCGCCCGCCACCTTATCAAGGATATGGTTATGGAGAAGGTTGTGAAGAGAAGTGAGTTTCTGACAATGGTGGCCGCCGCAGCGAAAGACGAGCCTTGGAAAATGGCGTTCCTGGTACGGGGGTCCATGGTGCCGCTGTTTGTGAAGAACTACGGGCTCGGCGTCACAGACATAGGCTACATTCCAAATGCGTGTTGCTCAATGATCTTCACTAACTTCTACGCCGCCCAAAACCTGTATATGGGGAGTACGATGAAGAACTTGAAGGACGTGTTCGCCCCCAAGAAGGCGGCGGAGGGGCCGATGGACCCAGCAGCGTACGCCAAGAAATGTTTGCCTATCGTCTTTAATGTGTTGTTGGTTTTTTTTCTCGTGAAGTCCCTGAAGGCCCAATTTAAGAAGCAACGCTCTGAGATTGAAGAAACATTGAAGAAACGTAACGACACGAAGTCTGCAGCGGGAAAGGCCGACTAGACACTTACTAGGCAGTATCTTCTCTTGTCGTGAGGCATTCTGCCAGATCGCGTTGCGACTGCACAGGCTTACGCCACACCCGTCGACCCCGCGATGCCGCCCTTCCTTGGCTCCACTGACTACAGAGCAGTGTGAGCTTTACAGTCTTTGTCTGTGGGTGGCCTCGTGCGCCGCTTCCTCAGGCCGTTGCAGTGGCCTCTGTGGTCGTTGTGTTGTACCTTCTTGGATGTCGTTCACCCTTGGTTGCGCACTCCCCTTCCTCACGCCCCTCCCCCGCCCTCACGCCACTCGTCCCGTTCTCCTTTATGCTTGCTGTCTTGTTCGTCGGCCCTTGTTCCTTCAGGTGTACCTCTGCCTCGTTTGGTCTGGGCCCTCTCGTGCCCTTCGGGCTTCTAGAAATGATAGAAATCATGTGGGGTGTGTTTGGGAACCAAAGGTCCACAGGGAAGGAGGGGAGGGGAATCCAAGCAACAGAGAGAAGAAAGAAGGAGCGTGTGTGCACAGTTACGTAAGAACGCAGCTTCAGACGTCTTGTCGTGCATGTCCTCTTTGCATGTGCTGCTGTCATGTGCCCCCCGTCGGGGACCTTGATGATTTCTTCCAGTACGTCGTGCTTGTTCCCGTTGCTGGCCCCCGACCCACACTACCATAGAACCGTCGCCCCCCTAGAATTCTTTTGGTTGCAACCGCCTGCGTGGTCTCTTCGGGCTCTTCAGCGCCAGCTTGAGGGCCGCTTGGGGCTCTCTAGGGCCGTCTTCCGGACCACTCGGCCCTCTCGTCGGTTGTGGTGGGGCTTTGTGGGGGCTCTCTTGGTATACCTCGGCGCTCTCTGGAGGGGCGTCTTGCCGTTTTGGCGCTTCTTGGGCCGTCTTGACGGTGTCCCGTGCCGTTTCGGCGCCTTCCTGTCCAGTCTGGAGTTTTCTGTTGGCTGCCTTGCAGCGTTCTTAATGGATTTGTCGGGCCGTCTTGAATTCGCTGTGGGCATTCTTGGACCGTCTTTCTCTAGGCATCCCAGATGGGGTCCGAGTAGATGGGGTCGGAGGATCGCGCCGCATCGCCGATGCATCGGGGATGCGGCTCGATGTCAAGTCAAGTCAAGTAAGCGTTGCACCAGACGGTACGTGAGCAGGGTGAGAAAAAGCAAAGCACATGCAAGACATGCAACCACAATGCCTGCAGCATCTGGCCCACGCCTTCACCGCGCGCCCCTGCGCTCGCGCTGCACCGCCCTCGGGGCGGGAGTAGGCAGCGAGCCGTCTGCGGCAGCCTGCGACTTTGAGACAATTATTCCTCATTGAATGGCTCCAAGTTTGCCTCGGTCTGCCCCGCTTTCTCGGGCCAGGCGCCTTCCGCAGATCCAGGGTGCCTTGCTCAAACACCGATCGCCGCACAGGATCTAGGCAAGGTCGGCGTGCTCATTGCTCATGCAAATAATTTGCTTTCTCGCGTGGCAATCGCTGAGCTTCGGCTGCTCGACCACGGCGAGTACAGAAGCGCTCGAGACTCTGCTGAAGTGTGCTGGGGGCTACTTTGCAAATCTTCCTGATGCTCCGGTTCTGGAAACTGTCCAGCCTTCGACGTTCTGCTTGGTCCAGGCACGCATCAAAGAGGGTATCAAATACATATATTGGACACCACACAAATATTCAAACTATGTATCTTCTGGCATTTGGAGAGGCAAGCGTGAGACTAGATCGCGTGCAGCGTCGTTGAAGTCTTGCAGTGCTGCTCCAAGTTTGCGGCTCAACTCAGAGGCGCACCTCCCGTCGGCGGACAGCGCCGCGCCCAGGCAGATGAAGGACTGCTTGTTGAGAATGGGCGTGCCAGCGTTGTCCACGATGTCCTCCTCCGTCCGCACCTCCACTATCTCCGCGTGCTTCCAGTTGAAGAGGAGGCCGTACTTCGCCCCAGACATGTCAACGGAGGTCATCAGCTATTGGACTGCCCCTTCCGTCGGCGCCCAGCAGCTGGGTGTCGTCCGCGCACACCAGACCACGAACCAGCTCCTCTGGAACCTTTCCACCTCGTCGGTCCCGCAGTTCCTTGCGGGCGTCGTGTAGGAGTGTTGTCATCACGATTGTATCACGAGTGTGAGCACGAAAAGCGACAGCGGGCACCCTTGACATATGCCATATGCTTGCTCCCTGTCCTGCGACGTGACGCCGAAGTCGTCGACCACGAACCCGCGGCCCTCATAAAAATGGCAGCGACCATGTTCACAGACCGGCTTGGGCATCCAAGCCTTCGCAGAGAATTAGCAAGTGCTTCTGGGGACACGGAGTCGAAGGCTTTCGCACAGTCCAACACCAGGAAAGACAGCCTTGCTGTCTCGAGACGACCACGTTCTCTCGAGGACCCGCCGGGCGATGAAGATCGCATCTGGTGTGCCACCGTTGGATCGAAATCCGAAGTGCGCGTTCCACATACGCTGCTCCGCGCCAGCGTCCTTCAGGCGATGCGGCAGCACAAGCGCAAATACATTGTATCCTATCGGCAAGACGGTGATCGGGCAGCAAGTGTTGCAGTTCACATGGTCGTCACTCTTGTAAATCATCCTCACCTTCGACCTGTGCCACGCATCGGGGACGCGCCCCGTCTCCCATACCATGTTGCAGAAGCGAGTGATCCACTGAAGCGTCGGGGTGCCGTCCTCGCATGCTTCTCGCCAGAACTCTGGCGTTATGCTGCCCATTCTACCAGCTCTGCCTTGTTTGAGTTTACGTGTTGCTTTGCTCACTTTGTGTCTGCGATGGTACCGAGGACAATCGGCAGCTCGTTCTCGTGCGGTGCGTCCGCTGGTATTGCAGTCGTAGGCCTCACGGCCCATTGCACCCTCTCTAAGTGCGCCGCCAGAGTGTCTGCCCTGTTGTCGCTGTCCACGACTTGGCTGGCCCCATTCTTGAGTCTACCTTTCGGGGTGACCCAAAAGGGGGTCCAGCTGAAAGGGGGTGGTGCAATAGATGTGGGGCAATTGTATTGCAAATGTACTGCGCCAGAGAGTTGGATTGCATTGTATTGCATTGCGTTGCAAGTAATGTATTGTATTGCACGCGAAAATACAGGAATGCATCTGCGCCCCGAAAGGTATTGCATGCCCCAAATCTGTTGCAACCCAACAACTCTATTGCACCCAATTGATTGCACCACCGGCTTGTCGCTGGACCCCCTTTTGGGTCAACCCAAACCTGGCTGCGGGCAGACTCCGTTCCGCAGCTCGCTGATCTCGTCCCAGGCCTCTCTGGCCGTCAGCCCCTGCAGCCAGGCGGCCCTGTCACACGCGACAGCCTTGGGGAATATTACAAAAAACAGTCAAAACGTAATGTGTGGACGATTTGTTGACAATGTGTGAGCATTTTTGGTTTGGATACGTTTGAGGTATTTTTGGTTTGTCGCCCAAAATCCGCCTTTATGGGGGGGGGACATTCCCGACCTGATGCTAGGCCCTGGGGGAAGCCGATATATCCATATTCACCACTTGCCGAGGTTTTGGAAGGTCGACCCCCCAGGCGGTGGTGATGGATAAATTCCCGCCTCGCACTCAGGGCCCCTGATGCCAGGACACCGTACAGTGTAGATTCATGCCAACAAACACCGTACTTGCCTCCAGGGTGCCCTGGGCTTCTTGCGATCCGATGGTTTTGCTATGGACAGCGTGACGTCCCTAAGCCAAAACTTATTGGACGTCCTGGGGTCTCAGGGTTGCATTTCTCTTGGGAGGTTTCTTGTGGACTGGCCTCCGCTGCAAGACAGGACATGGAGAATTCCAGCTGGAGTGAGCGAAGGGTGAAACATCTCTCGACAGACAGCTGCAGCTTTCTCGGTGCGCCAGCGTCCTGGTTTGTCAAAGTGGCCGTTTGCGGGGGCCTGCGTGTCCTGGGTCACCCCCAGGGGCGCGAAGATGATCGCGCTCCGCTCGGGCCGAGCAGGCGCCCTCCTCTGGGGCGGCAGCGCGAGGGTGCGGAGGTGGCGCGACGTCAGGTTGACCTGGATGGTGTCCTGACGGGCACCCCCCCTCCCTCCCTTCCTCCCTCCCTCCCTCCCTCCCTCCCCCTCGAAATGGAGATGGTGGGGTGTTAGGGGAGGGGGGGCGTGTCGGGTCGGGACGGAATCTCACACGCCCAGTGGCCCCCAGAGGCCGCTTGCGAACTCTCGCGTGCGATGCAGGTGGCCACGTCGCCCCTCTCATGTTGGCATGTGGGCCGACCGGCAGCAGTGGACAGGTGTACGCAGATGTGCTGCATAGACAGACTGTGGCTCGGCCATTGGAACAAAACGTCTCTGCAAGACAGCTGTTCTCTTTATACTTAGGGGCCGTAAGACTCTTGCTTGCTGGAACTCTTGCTTGCCGTGGCTTCCTCACGGTTCCGCTGCGAACTTGGATGCCCCAGGTTCCTTAAGATGTTTACCGCGGGAGCCCGTGGGAAATTTCAAATTCGGTTCCATCATTGTTCTCTCGGCCCCGTCATGTGAATTCGAGTCCCGCAGAATTGGAGTCTTAGTGTCCCCGATTGTGGAGCGTATGGGCATGAGGTTGCACAGGGGGGTTCAAGAGCAGGGAACGCTGAGCATGATGTTCAGAGGCCCGACATGGTGAGGTGGTTCGGCCAGTTTCGGCTCAGATGAATTGCAAAACAAACATGATCCAGCCTACAGGATAGCACAGTGAATTCGCGTTGTGTTCCGCGCTGGCGGCCTGCCTGAGCAATCGCGTACGGTCGCCATGCCATAACGCGTAATCTATCGTTTTGCCCCTTTTTTGAAAGAGCGCTGGTCACCTGGGCAGGGGGCGAAGAGGGGGTTGGTGATCCTTTTTTTGGAGCTCCAGTGAATGGTATCCTGCGTGCCAGCATCCCAAACAGATCATCAAGTCAGGCACCCATATTCGCAGGTGGTGGTAGCGGTGAGCTTCCTCCTCAGGATGTCCACTCAGATGCCTCCGGAAGATCGAATTTCGCTTGCTAGCCCTAAGTTTGCAAAATACGCCTTGGTAACATTTTTTTAGGTGGCAGACGGTGCGATCCCCTGTTTCCCTCGGGAGTCTTGAGAGGGGGTCAATGCAAATTGGGGTCAGCCAGAGCGCCCGATCTTGCAGGATCCTGCGGGGCCAGGGTCGCATTGGCCCGGGTTTGGGTGAAGGATCCTGCAGGATCTTGCAGGATCCTGCGCGTTGACCCAGGTTTGGGTTCAGGATCTTGCAGGCAGGATCTTGAAGGATTCTGCAAGGTTTGGTTGGCCCGGGTCTGGAATCACCCGGGTCAGAAGATCCCCGACCCCCGCTTCGTTCGCTTCCTTGAGGCGCGGACGGGCATTTAAGTGCGTGCTCGCTTTGGCGCGCGCCGCTGACCGAGGTGTGGGGAGGGGATCTCGACGCCGAGTCGTTATTGAAGAGGCTTACGCCATTCCGCCGACCCCCAGAAGAAGGAATGAGCCTAGGATTAAGTCGGGCGTGTCCCTCTACAGGAGGAATATCCAAAACATTGTCAACACATAGTCAGGGGATGATTGTTCCCAACCATCCTGTGGTGTTTGGTCCTCGTTTTGAAGAGACGGTCCCCGCGTTCCTCTCCTCTCCTCTCCTCTCCTCTCCTCTCCTCTCCTCTCCTCTCCTCTCCTCTCCTCTCCTCTCCTCTCCTCTCCTCTCCTCCTCCTCCCTCTTCTTCCTCCTCTCGTCACCTTCTCACTGTGGCACACCCCTTATACATTTCGTGGCCCCATCGGGAGCTCCACCTGAGGTCCCAGTGGCGCAGTCCGCATGGCGGAGCTCCACCTATGGTCCCACAGGCGCAGTCCGCATGGCGGCGTCGCCCTATTTTGACGCACCCCTCACACGTTTCGTGGCCACATGGGGAGCTCCTTCTAAGGTCCCAGTGGCGCACCCTGCATGGCGGCGCCGCCCCGTTTTGGCACACCCCTCACACGTTTCCTGGCCACATAGGGAGATCCTTCCAAGGTCCCAGTGGCGCAGTCCGCATGGCGGCGCCGCCCCGTTTTGGCACACCCCTCACACGTTTCGTGGCCACATGGGGAGCTCCTTCTAAGGTCCCAGTGGCGCACCTTGCATGGCGGCGCCGCCCCGTTTTGGCACACCCCTCACACGTTTCCTGGCCACATAGGGAGTTCCTTCCAAGGTCCCAGTGGCGCAGACCGCATGCTGGCGCCGCCCCATTTTGGCACACCTCTCACACGTTTCGCGGCCCCATAGGGAGCTTCACCTAAGGTCCCAGTGGCGCAGTCAGCATGGCGGCGCCGCCCCGTTTTGGCACACCCCTCACACGTTTCGTGGCCCCGTAGGGAGCTCCACCTAAGGTCCCAGTGGCGCAGTCCGCGTGGCGGCGCCGCCCCATTTTGGCACACCCCTCACGCGTTTCGCGGCCCCATAGGGAGCTCCACCCAAGGTCCCAGTGGCGCAGTCCGCATGGCGACAACAGGGAAGGGGAAAAAGGAAGGAGGAGCAGGAGGAGGAGGGGGACGACGGGGAGGACGATCGTAGCAGAGTCCCCCCCCTCTCTGGCTGGGAATGCTGTTCAGGCCTCTGGTGGACCCTGGGAGTCTCGGCCCTTTCCCCAGGGCCAGCCCTTTCTCCCAGATCGATGTTGCGATGGTTCCGCGCAGGGCCCGGACACGGCATCTGGCAGCCCCTCCGAAAAAAAAACATCACGCCCAGATATCGAATCCGGGCGTTGTGTCTTCTTGTGTCGGCACGAGGCAAGGACATCCTCTGGCGTTCGAGGTCTGCGGAGGAAGCCGGAGGCCTCCAGAATTCAATATCATGGCTGGAGATGCCGGACAACAGAAGTATCGAACTTACTTTGTTTCGAAGAATCCTGCTCGACAGCGCGAGGCGGGATATCCAGGGGTCAAGCCAGGCCTGTCCCTCTACAGGGGGAATATTCAACAGTAGTAGAAATAGTCAGGGGACGATGTTTAGAGTATTCTTATGTTTTACATACTTTTTAAGAATATGTTTAACTTGTCGTCCAAAACCCGCCAGTAGGGGGACATGCCCGACCTAAGACTGGGGTCCCTGGGGGCCTGGCGGCAGCGGTTACACAGTCGTCATTCGTCCAAGACGCTAGGAGGGATGCCCAGGGAGCTCCGGGACACTTGGTGCCTGGCGGCCGCGCTATGCAGTGTGTACGAGGCGGGTCGGGAGTTCTTGCTTTAAGATCTGACCACCCCAACCTTCGGATTGACCCCAAATGGGGTGCAGCGACAAGGGGGTGCTGCAATAGATGTGTGGGGTTGCAATGCATTTGGGGCGTGCAGTACATTCCGGGGCGCAAATGTATTGCTGTATTTTCGCGTGCAATGCATTAGTTGCAACACAATAGAATACAATTCTCCGGCGCAACACATCTGCAATACAAGTGCCCCAAATTTATTGTACCACCCCGTTCAGCTGGACCCCGTTTTGGGTCACCCAAAGGGTGGGAAGCTAATGGAACCCGTCTCACAGGTCGCGAGTTCCAAGCAACATGAAAACGGTGTTTTTTTTCCGTGCTTGCCAATACTGGATGTTAGTCCCAGCCCGAGCGTGGAAATCTTGTCATGCTCATTGGGTGTGTTCTTGTCCAGGTGCCTTCGTGTCTGTTTTATCAGCATGTCTATCTTCCAGGGGTCTGCATATATGGTTCAAGCTTTCGAGTTTGTCCTCCCGCGAATAACCCTAGGAAGCCATTAAGGACCCCCCCCCACTCTGGCGAAACAACAACGCATCCAGCACCCGGAAGCCTTACTCTGGGCATGTGGCCGTTGCTTAGCACTCCTCTAGAGCTCTCCCAGCAACTCCCGAAAGTGGCGAGGAGGAGGTGAAGAGGAGGAGAAGGAGGACCAGGAGGAGGGGCAGGACATGGAGGAGGAGGAGGAGGAGGAGGAGGAGGAGGAGGGGCGCAGGGAGGAGGAGGACAAGGAATTACTATTGCGCACTACTACGACTACACTACTACGACTACACTACTACTACTACTACTACTACTACTACCACCACTATTATTATTACGACTACTACTACTACTACCACTACTACTACTACTACTACTACTACTACTACTACTACTACTACTGTCATTATTGCGACTACGAGTGCTGCGGCTACGACGACTACTACTACGACGACCTAGTACGACTACCACCACTGCCACATTGCTACTCGTACTACTTGTATTACTACTACTACTACTACTACTACTACTACTACTACTACTACTACTACGTACTACGTACTACTACTACTACTACTACTACTACTACTACTACTACCTCTACTACTACTACTACTACTTCTTGTTATTACCA